ACAGTCATAAATAAAACAAAATGCCCTCCTTGTATTACAATTAGGAGAAAGCAGCATTAGAACAAAGCGGTGAGCTGAGACTGTGCCATTGCACTCCAGCCTGGGTAACAAGAGCGAAACTCCGTCTCAAAAAAAAAAACCAATCATCTATAGGAAACAAAAAATACAACATGTAAAGTGCTACTGTGGGTGCATTTAGTGCTACAAGAACATGTGACAGGGACTCAGGAAAGCTTTCCGTGAGAAAGGAATTATTAAGCTGAGACATGAAAAGCGAGAAAGAGTTATCTAGGAAGATCAAGGGAGGAAACAGCATTCCACGGAGAGAGGACAGCAGGCAAAGTCCTGGAGGGAGTGTGGGTGAAGCCAAGGCCAGTGGGTGAGAGGCTTGTGTGGGCTGGAGAAGAAAGAAGGGTCCAGGTCACTTGAGGCTGGACAGCCACATGAAGGCTTTGGGGCTTATGACTGAGCAGCCATGGAAGGTTTGTATGCAATAAATTGACATAGTCTAATTTCATATACAGATGTATTTGTGTGTGTAGAGAAAGGGGAGAAGGTGTAATTTAAGTAAAACAAAATTCAGAGATCTTTTTTTTTTTTTTTTTTTTTTTGAGACGGAGTTTCGCTCTTGTTACCCAGGCTGGAGTGCAATGGCACGATCTCGGCTCACCGCAACCTCTGCCTCCTGGGTTCAAGCAATTCTCCTGCCTCAGCCTCCTGAGTAGCTGGGATTACAGGCACGTGCCGCCATGCCCAGCTAATTTTTTGTATTTTTAGTAGAGACGGGGTTTCACCATGTTGACCAGGATGGTCTCGATCTCTCAACCTTGTGATCTACCCGCCTCGGCCTCCCAAAGTGCTGGGATTACAAGCTTGAGCCACCGCGCCCGGCCAAATTCAGAGATCTTAAGTGAGATGTATATATACCAGTGTAACCACCTCCCAAACACTACACCGCACAGCAGCACCCTAGCGAGCACTCTCGTCAATCCCAGTCTACAATTAGATTTATTGTTTTAGTTGCCTCTGGCAATAGTGTGGAGAATGGATGGTGTAGTTGTGGGGGTGGGGGTGGTAAGAAATGGCAATGGACTCTACTTGGGGTGGAAACGGGATGGAGAAAAGAGAATGGGCTCAATAAATGTTTAGGAGGGAGAGTTCGCAGAGCTTCAAGGCAGCTGGAAAGGAGTGAGGGCAACAAGTCAAGAATCAGTAAAGGCTCTGAAATTCCAGCAATAAAGAAAAACTGGGAGAGAGATCCAAGATGGCTGATCACTAACAGCTCGGGATTGTAGCTCCCACTGAAAGCGCAAAGAATGAGAGGATGCCACACCTTCACATGAATTCTTGTTGCTGACGCACCAGGAGATTCCCAGCGGAGGAGCCCCACGGGTCGCCAGCGCGACTCTTGTGACCGGCGAGGCGGTTTTGCCGGCGCCTTGGAGCGACGGTTCTTGGTGCAGAGTCGGAAAAGCACCATCAATCTTAACGCCGCTGATTTGGTCGGCGCAGTGGGTTGCTCAGATTTCGGCGCTGAGAATCAGTAAGTTGGACGTCCACTCAGAAACCTAATTACAAAGACGGTGAATTTAAAGACCACAGATGGATAAATTTATAACGAAGGGAGGAAAACGGCCAAAAAAGGCTGAGAATGCCCAAGATCAGAACGCCTCTCCCTCAGCGGGGGATCACAGTTCCTCATCAGCAATGGAACAAGGCTTGATGGAGAACGAGTGTGTTCCAATTACAGAAGCAGGCTTCAAAATGTGGATAATGAGAAACTTCTGTGAATTAAAAGAACTTGTTTTAACCCAATCTAAAGCAACTAAGAACTTTGAAAAAAGATTTGACGAAATGTTAACAAGAACACACAATTTAGAGAGGAATATAAGTGAATTGACGGAGCTGAAAAACACAATAGGAGAACTTCGTGAAGTATGCACAAGTTTTAACAGCCGAACTGATCAAGCAGAAGAAAGGATATCAGAGGTCGAAGACCAACTCAATGAAATAAAACAAGAAGACAAGATTAGAGAAAAAAGGATAAAAAGGAACGAGCAAAGTCTCCAAGAAATATGGGACTATGTGAAAAGACCTAATCTACGCTTGATAGGTGTACCTGAATGTGACGAAGAGAATGAATCCAAGCTGGAAAATACGCTTCAAGACATTATTCAGGAAAATTTTCCCAACCTAGTAAGGCAGGATAATATTCAACTCCAGGTAATACAGAGAACACCACAGAGATATTCCTCAAGAAGAGCAACTCCAAGGCACATAATCGTCAGATTCACCAGGGTTGAAATGAAGGAGAAAATACTAAGGGCAGCCAGAGAGAAAGGTCAGGTTACCCACAAAGGGAAGCCTATCAGACTTACAGCAGATCTCTCAGCAGAAACCCTACAAGCCAGAAGAGAGTGGGGGCCAATATTCAGCATCCTTAAAGAAAAGAACTTTCAACCCAGAATTTCACATCCAGCCAAACTAAGCTTCACAAGTGAAGAAAAAATAATGTTTTTTGTGAATAAGCAAGCACTCAGAGATTTCATCACCACCAGGCCTGCTTTACAAGAGCTTCTGAAAGAACCACTACACATATGAAAGGAACAAACAGTATCAGCCTTTCTAAAAAAATTATCAAAAAGAGCATCAATATAATGAAGAATTTACATCAACTAATGGACAAAATAGCCAGCTAATGGCAGTATTAAACTCACATATATTACTATTAATTCTAAATTTAAATTGACTAAATCCCCCAATCCAAAGACAGGCAATTTGAATAAAAAACTAAAACCCATCAGTATGCTGCATCCAGATCCATCTCACATTCAAGGATACACAAAGACTCCAAACAAGGGATGGAGAAAGATTTACCAACCAAACAGAGAGCTAAAATAAATAAATAAAAAGCAGAAGTTACAATTAAGCAACAAAGATCAAAAGAAGCAAAGAAGGACATTATATAATGATAAAAGGATCAATGCAACAACAAGAAGAGCTAAAGATCCTAAATATATACTCACCCAATACAGGAATACGCAGACATACAAGACTTATAAAGAGACTTAGACTCCCACATAATAATAGTGGGAGACTTCAACATTAATATTAGACAGATCAATGAGACAGAAAATTAACAACGATATTCAGGACTTGAACTCAGATCTGGAACAAGTAAATGTAATTAACATTTATAGAACTCTCCACTTTAAATATACAAAATATACACTCTTATCAGTACCACATCATATCAACTTAGAAGTTTAAAAGAAATCTTGGTTGGCTCCTTGTTTGCTATTCTCTTCCCTCATTTTCTTTCATGTCTCTATTATTAAGGACAATTATAGGCATACCCATATTTAGACTGCATTCTAGCCTGGGCAATAAAGCAATACCCCCATCCTCTCTCCCTCTTTCTCTTTCTCTTTCTTCCTCTTCTTTATTCTAAAATAAATAAATAAATAAATAAATAAACAAAATAAAAACTATTAATAATTAAAAAAGAAAAACTGGTTTAATTATATTTAAACTAGAGTTTAATGAGACGCCTGTTAAAACGAAGATGTTTTTATTAGTAGGAGTAAGTGTTGCAATAAGCCATTGTTATTGTGAAAAGTATCTCTCAAGTGGGCTGGGGTAGAAGAAAAGAGATTGAAAAATCATTGATCTACAAAAGAAAGAGCAAACTGCTATGAGAGGTCTAAGTTAGAGATAGTTAAGCTCAAAAAGAGAAGCAATGTGAGCCAGCATCTGATCTAATGCACTTTTTAATCAGTAAGACTTTTAAACTAACTGCATTTGAAGAAAACGGTGTTGAAGAAAAAAAAAAAAAACTCAGGTGTTAAGGACATTTTTCTTCAACCTGTGACTTTATGATTACCGTCTGACTTATTGATAGTTGAACCAATAATTTGAAATTCACAAAGGTACTAGGTTTGTGGGTAAATATTGATATTGTCTAGGAATTTTTAATTATTTACCCTAACATCTTGATTGTAAATACTCAAAATAGACTCCACTCTCATTTAACAAAAATTTAAAATAAAGGACTTAATCAAAGACAAAGGGATTACAAAGTAATTTAATGGCTACATTGTTTTTACTTTCTTTTCTCACTGTGACAGAGCACGTTTAAGAGATTTAATCCAGGATATTTTATAAAAGGGCCTTAGTTCTGACAACATGAAATGACCATGTGTGCCTGCGGACAACACTGCCTAAAATCTTCCCTCTTTGAAATAATTGGTAAGTCATGAGTCAGCTTGGCCCATAAGTAAATCTGTAAAACATAGTAACTTCTTGAGGTTACCCTTTATCCCACTCTATTAAGTTACAATCACTATGGAATAATACATGACAGAATGACAATAATTTTTATTTTAGAAAAATGCCTAAAACAAACAGTGCTTAACACAAAGTCTGCATAGCTTGCTGCAATAAAAAAAAAAAAAAAAGAATTAGGTCCAGCCTGCCAGGGGTGGTGGCTCACACCTGTAATCCAGAGCTTTGAGGGGCTAAGCCAGACGATGCCTTGAGGCCAGGAGTTTGGGACCAGCCTGGGCAACATAGTGAGACCCTGTCTCTAAAAAAAAAAAAGTTAAGATTATGCACCTTTCCGAAACATCTGTCTGTGGATGAGGATGAGGGGCAGCGTGTGTGCACATGTATGTGTGCATGCATGTGTGTGTGTCTACATGTGTGTGCGCGCATGTGTGCATGCATGTGTGTGTGTGTACATGTGTCTGTGTGCCTGTGTGTGTGCAAGTGTGTGCATGTGTGCATGCTTTGGGGAAGTCTCAGGATGCTCGCTTCCTCAAGGAGAACAGGTTGTCAAGGAGAGGCAAGGGGGTTCCAGTCCCTGAGCAGGTGCAGGTGACGAGGCCCAGAGCATCACAGGAGGGGCTGGGAGGAAAGAAGCCTGGGAGAAGCCATTCACGACCTAACAAAGCTGGCACGGCCACCCCCAGGATTCCGGAAACCCTGAGTCAGTCCTGGCTCGGTCTCCTGGCAACCAGATGCAGGGGCCATGGCACTCTTAACACCCCATGGAGTGAAAGAAGTCTTCCAATTTCAGGTGAAGAAAGAGAAACTGGCTTTTAAATGGAAGCTGGCTCACCCCAGGCACATGGGGAGGTGTGCCCTGGAAGTGGCTCATCCGTGCCTCTTCAGGAGATCCTGGGGCATCCACCCCAGCTCAGCACAGTACCTCTGAGGCTGTGATGAGGTGTGCAGGCCCGAACTCCAGGCCCAGGCTTACCAGTCCCTGGACCTCATGGACCATTTTTCAAGCCCACATATGCAGGTCCAGAAAAGGCAGAACCTGCCTAATGGGAAGCAGGAGACTGTGCCTGCCTCCCTAGGGACCTCAGGGTCTTGTGAGCCTGTGTGTAGGGAGTATGTTGGGTGAGGCTTCTGTTGCTTCCTACGGGATGCTGCCTGGTTTAGGCAGAAGAGTGGTGGCAGTGGAAGAGGAGTCCCTTGGGCTGAGGACAGGACTCTGGGCCTCCCTCTGTGACCAAGGCTCCCATTAGTCTTCCAGAGTCCTCCAGGGTCCTCCCAGCCAAAGGACCCCTTGTCCCAGGAAAGCAACCCTCCTGAGTGTGGTATGTAGGTCTCTGCCTCACCCTAAACATGTTGTTGGCACTTCCTTTAAGTGGCATTTCCTTTTCCTACATCTGCTAGTGGCCTATAAGAACTTTCTGGAAGGGCCAGCTGAACCCTCAAGTAAAATGGGTTTTTACTGATAGGCAGGGAAAAAAAAGTTACCTTTTTCTCTTGGCCTGCCAAGAGAATTTTCACCAACCAACACTCATGCCTTCTGCTAAAGCATTACCTCACCAAGCCCCTTCTTGGTCAGTCATTTATACTGTGGTGTGCATTTCATTGTCAGATCAATGCCTCTAGCCCAGCTAGTTGAGAGCAGGCTAAGGGAAGTCAAATTTTATTTTAGAGAAGAGGGAGGAAGGATCATATTTCAGAAGCTGAAGCCTGCTGGATGTACACTAACCCTGGGCTGCAGTGGCCAGCATGAGAACTCTCAGAGGAAGGAAAGTCCTGGAAGAAGATCAAGTCCCAGGAGGAGGAGGGAGTGCTGTCCAGAAACCAAAGCACAGTTCTTCCTGGGGGGCCATGTGCCTGGTTATACTTCAGGGCTCTGGCGTACTATTGTGGGGATCCCAATAGGGTCTTACCCAGGAGAGATGGCTTCTTGACTCCTCAGCCCCATATCATACCCTCCACCCCCACACCATACCCTCCAACCCCCGTATCATGCCCTCCAACCCCCGTATCATACCCTCCAATCCCGTATCATACCCTCCACCCCCGTATCGTACCCTCCACCCCCATATCATACCCTCCAACCCCCATATCATACCCTCCAATCCCATATCATACCCTCCAACCCCCATATCATACCCTCCAACCCCATATCTTAACCTCCAACCCTCACATCATATTCTTAAATCCCACATCATGCCCTCCAACCACCATATCATAGCCCACCACCCCCATATTATACCCTGCAATTTTCATGTCATGCCCTGCAGGGACCACAAGGTCGGGAGCACCTACGGAGGCTTCTGAACTGGGAGGAATTTGATGAACAGAGAGACTCCCGGAGGAGCATCGTACTGGACACCCTCTACGAGAGCATCATCTTTGCAGTGGGCAAAGGCTTCCCATGGGTGGAGGTAACCCAAGTGGTCAAGTTCACAGAAGAGCTGCTAAGGGAAACCAAAGGTATGGGGCATCCAGGGCAGGAGCCAGCAGAGGCTGGCAGGACGGGGTGGGTGCACATAGGATTCCCCTGCCAACCACAGCCCCAGGAGCCTTGGAGAAGCCAGGGCCCCTTTCTGCCCTGCCTTGGCATTGGGACTCCTCACACACTAGGCAAAGGAGGTCTCTACTCAGGCTTCCCGAACTTCCTCACTGAGTCTCCGTTGTTCTGCCTGACTACAAATCTGAACCACTCCAAGCTATTTGCACAACAGCCAGGGTATTTGCTTTTGTTTTGTTTTGGTTTGGTTTTGTTTAACATAAATCAAATGTTTCACCTCCCCCTAACTTAAAACCCTTCAAGAACCCCTGAAGGGCTGCATGTTGTTCCTGGTAGGAGATCTGGCTTTGGTGCAGGTCCCAGTGGAGTCCTGGAGCCAGCTCAAGCCTGGGAATGCAGTCAGGTGGGTGCATGGAGGCGGCATTGCTCCCACCCTGGCCCTGCCGTGGGCTTGCATGAGAAAAGGACCTGGTGGCACGTGAAGCTGTGGTCATTTCATTCACCTCTTGGGCAATGAAGTACAGATTCATTCATGAAACAAACACTTGGGGCAGGCTCTCTGAGTGATACTCACAGTGATACTTCATTCCACTGAGAACCATCCATGGGTACTGGAAGTAGTGGGCGGATGCTCGATGAGAAGTGGGATGTTTCCGTGCTTTCTAAGAAGGTCTCCTACAGCATCCTTCCTAGTGACAAAGGGAAAGGAATACTCTTACAGGGAAGAAGCTGACAGGTGCCTCCTTAGTCAAATGACCCAAGTGGACATTGTCAGTAAGAGGCCACCCAGAATCCCATGCACCTGGTTGGATGCAGTGAGAAGCCAGCATCCTCCTGTGATGGTCCCAACAAAGATTAATGGCCTGAATTTCATCAGGAGAAAGCAGCAAATGAGCACTGCTCAAAGTAGCTCTTCTGCAAGCTTCAGACACTCAATAGCCATGAGGGCCAAGGAAAGATGGATAAACCTTTCCAAACTGAAAGAGGCTAAGACATGTGGTCAAACATGACCTGTGGCCTGTCCAGTTCTTCTTGCTATGAATGAGGTTATTGGGAGAAGTGTGGAAACCAGAGTGAGGTCTGGGGACCAAAAGGTAGTGACATATCCAGGGTGAGTGTCTGGATCGGGTGGTCGTGATGATGAATGTCCTTGCTTTAGGTGATGCACGAGGAAGGATGCTGGGGTGGGGCGTCGGGTGGACTGGGAAGAGTTTCTACTATTGTTGCAACTCTTCTGTATTTACTTTATTTTTATTTGAAATTGTTTTCCAAAAAAGTATGATAAGACTTTTGTAAACTGTGGCACATCTGAGGTCTTCCTCTGGCTTTCTGGTCAGAATCTCAGAAGCTGCCAAGCACGCAGGCTGCACAATGCCCTGTCTCTCATACATAAGGGCCTGTCCTCAAGGCACCAAGAAGTGACCACTCAGTCCTGTTGGCAACACCTCAATGTCCCTTGCTAAACTCATCATTTTTTAACCATCCCCAAGGCCAGCACCATGTCCACCCCCCACATTCCCTTGATTGGTCCACTGCTTTCAAATCTTGCATTCTGCAATCTATTTACCAAACTGTGAATGCTTTTTCAGACACACAGAATGTCCCATGGCACCTGTTTGAAGGCATCCAGTGCTCCCAGCCTTAGGCACACCTGGGCCAGTCTTTCTTTAATCTAAGGCTGCCATATTCTCTTCCATGTTCTCTTCTAATTCTCTTCTGCCAGCCTGGGCTCCCACCCAGCAGTCCCAGCCTAAAGGCTACAGTGAGACATGGTATCGCTCATGGCCTAGATTCGGAGATCCTTGGGACATCTCATCCCACTCCTGCCATCCCTGGCCCCACCAATGGGAGCCTTCAGGGCATCCCTCAGGTCACCACCTCCCCACTGCTCACAGCCACATGCGGGTACCAGAGTTCAACCCTGGTGTCTGAGCTCTGCAGGGGCTCGTGGCCAGAACAAACACAGACAACCAGGAAGAGGGAAGTCAGCCCAAAGCAGGTGGGAAGCGGACTCTTTCAAGTCCCCATTGGGGCCTCCATAGGCCGAGCCCTTGGAAAACAGTCGATGATTATGCAAACCCAATTTCAACCCAAGATTAGGTCACCCTGGAGCTTTCGGCACTTCTGGTTGGAGCATGCCTTACCAACACAGCACAGCTATGTCTCATGGACTCTCCAATTGAGTGCAAAGACGACTCCTCTCCCTGACTGCAGGGAGGCCCTGGATGCCAGCTAAGCAATTCCAGCCTCTGCTGAAACCCCCTAAGGGACAGGGAGCCCCTCATCCTCTGGCACTTCATCCCTTACATGACCACTCTCATTATTAGGAAGTTTTTCCTTGTGTCTAGCCTACAGCTGCTTTCTGCACCTCTCCAAAATCGGTCTTCCAGATTTTCAGCAGCATGTGGGTCCTGAACATGTTTATTGGGTTTCATACAATGCTGCTAGTACCTCTTTCCATTTAGACTAGACATCCTGGTACCTTTTATTGTTCCTTTTAAAAATTCAAATATTTACTGAAATGCTAGCTACATACATTTATTTAGAGCTTCCATAAATCATGTATATGCCACTTCATTTAACATATGTTCATTACCGTATTTTAGTCTTCAGATGCTATATATAATGAGTAAAATACACCCGTGTTTACCACCACCCATATCACGTCATCTCTTTTTTCATTTTAATATGACATCATTCCCATAGGCCCTGCCTCCCACCACCTCCTAACCTCTGCCCCCCTCTTGCTGCCCTCATCCAGGTGGCCTTGTGTCAGTATTCTTCTTAACATAGGGCATCTGGATTCAAACACAGCAATCAGTGGGGTGGTCAGGGATGTATCATCTCCCCTGTGCTGGTCGTGATGCTCCTGTTTATATAGCCAATGGATGCGCTGGCTTTATCAGCATCAGGTACATAGACTGGTGTCAGGCTGGCAGTCCACTAAAGCCCCTAACCATTTCCCCATCCTGCCCTTGTGTGGTGGCGATTGCGAGTGCACCTGCAGGACTTCACAATCCTCACTGATGCTGTCCTGCTCAGACTGGCCTGCCTTTCCTTCCTCCTGAAACCTTCAGAGCCTTAATCCTGGGCCATCCAGTTTACCAGGTCCTCCGCTCCCCTTCATACCATCTGAAAACATATGAGGCATGGTCGCGATAAGCATGGACTAGAAACAAGTTCTTGGGTGGGCTTCCCTCACCCAAAATTGAACTGGCTGAAAATAGAACCATCAGGAGGCTTGCGGTCCAGAGGGAAAATTCAGATTCTACTTGGTTCCTTACTGGGTACGTGGTCTAGGGCAAGTCTCATCCATCTGAGCCTCTTTTGACACACCTAGAAAAATGGGGGCGCGGGGATCACCCTCATCCTGGGATTGTTAGAAGGATCAAATGAGGGTGTGCCTTAAGGCCCACAGCATGGTGCTGGGTGTCTGGGAAGCACCCAGAGAGCGGCACCTTTACTTTTAGGAGACACATGACCTGGAAACTTGAGGGAACAGGATGTGATCCAGAAATTTAGCGTAGTCAGGGGTAACCTGCTTTGGCTCAGCCCTTGCAAGGACGAGGCCCAGTAGATGAGTTCCAAGTCTCCTCAGCCCCTGTACTGTCCCAGTGAGCCTGCACTGCAGGGGATGGGGCAGGGCCAGGACGTTAAAAAAAATAAAGCAAACTGCAGATTCATGCCAGAAATCAGGAGCGAGATGGGAGGCAAATGATACGGTCCCAGCTCCACCCTGGAGGTGACTGACCCACTGGAAGAGCCGGCTCCTGAGAGCTGTGCCAGGCTGGCTGCAGTGCGGAGAGAGTAGGCAGCCGGGTGCAGCCGGAGTATCCCCGGGTGCAGAACCCCACAAGACCCAGGCCTCCTGCACTTAGATCACCACGGTGCCGTTCAGTATTTGGTGCCTGCCGTCCCTGAGCCAGGTGGCCCAGGTCGTGTCCTTGTCAGCACCCGTGTCCTCATCACTGTGCACAGGGACACTCGGGAGAGCGTGAGCAAGCCCAGAAGTCCCCCAGAGGCCGAGGGCTGAATTCCAGCTGCACCTCCTTCCCGAGTCCTGCTCACAGACAAACGCTGCTGTCACCTCCAGGCCCAGGCTGAGCCCTGAATGGTTCTGGGACCCCAGTTTTGCCATTTCCTAGCTGTGGGACCTTGGCCATTCCCTCAACCTCTCTGTGCTTCAGGCCACTCATCTGTAAATTTGAGACAACAGCATCCGCTCCACAGGGTTGCTGAGCTCGTGTGTGGCCCCGGAACGGTGGCCAGCATAGAGGAGGCCCTGAACATGTGCGCTGGAGTCGGCCTTTGTGTTACACCCGCTTGCAGGGGTCTCAGGCCCCCTCCTGGGCTCCACCGTCCGCCTGGAACTTTATGTCCTCCTCTGCCTGCCCCTCCCAGACAGCTGCAGCCGGGGCAGCCCTACAGCACCACTCACGGAAGCTGCAGGCTTTCCTGCCCCAGCTTTGCTCAGTGCTTTCTGCTCCAGTTCTGCCCAACTCTAGCTCCAACCTTGATCTTCTCTGGTGACATCCAAGTGACACTGCCCAGGTTTGGACCATAGGCTCTGAGTCACCAGCCCTTATCTATCCTGCGTCCCCTCCTGGGCCCGCCAGCCCTGGGTCAACTCCCCTCCTGACTGAGCCCCTCCCAGTCCTTGGCTCGCACCGCCCAGAGCTGATCTTTGCTCCTCCAGTGCTGGGCCTCACCGGCTTAGCTTCTCTCCGGCGCTGGGCCTCGCGGGCTCGGCTTCTCTCCTGCGCGGGGCCTCACGGGATTAGTTTCTCTCCCGCGCGGGGCCCCACGGGATTGGCTTCTCTCCGGCGCAGAGCCTCGCGGGATTCGTTTCTCTCCAGCGCGGGGCCTCACGGGATTAATTTCTCTCCGGCGCGGGGCCTCACGGGCTTGGCTTCTCTCCGGCGCTGGGTCTCACGGGCTCGGGCTTGGCTTCTCTCCGGCGCTG